TGTAGTCATCGATACCAAGATGATTGGCTCCAGCTCCGCGAAGATGATGAGTACCAGGATATCCTCCACGAGTTCCCTGAGTCCGGCCCTTGTGCCTATCGTGGTAACCTCGAGTTCGCGATGCGATGCGATGTGAAAGCCGAACGACTCTATTGACGCAACTCTTTCGATCAATACTCATTCACTCGTTATCAAGATCGCATGCGATACCGCGGGTTAGTCAAAATGCGGTTCATTAAACACTTCAAAGCTTCATTCCAAAATGTCTTCACACACTCGGGCTGGAAGTAGCCTGAGAATCGGCCACCTCAGTCGTTGTCGCTGAGGCTTCGGTGGTGACATCAACGTTGGTGGTGGCACTGATAGTAGTGACTGGGAAGTCAGCTGTAGTCGCGAGATTAGTGGCGACGTCGTCTGTTGTAGTAGCAGCGAATGTGGTGGATGAGGCCTCTCCAGTAACATCCGGAGATGTGGTTACTTCCGAGGGAGCTGCTGTGCTGGTCATTTGTGCAACAGTGTTAGGCTCGACAGGAGCGTCGGTAGTAACATCAGCCGCATCGGCTGTAGTTACCATTCCGGTAGTGTCAACAGCAACAGAAGTGGCCGTATTGGTTTCTTCGGGAGCGGCTGTTGTGCCGTCCTGGATTGTGGTGGTCTCAGTGACTTCATCGGTGGCTTCACTTGGAGTAGTGGTAACTGCAGCAGCCTCGCAAGTGCATGGCTCATTGGATGAATGGCAGGTGCTTGGTGTAGCCCAGTACTTGCAGTAGGAGCCAGGAGTATCCGAGGCACAACCAGCATCACAATTACGGGGAACTTCAGTTGTCTCACCCGACCCGCAGTAACAAGGGACGTTGGAGCCAAAGCACCTGCTAGGTGTCTGCCAGTATTTACAATACGACCCGGGATAGGTGGCGGCACACTCGGCATCGCACGCGGTGGTGTTGCCCATCACGTATGTGATGTCCTGGAGAACATTGAGACAGACGACGATGAAGGGGAAGGAACGGATAGTCATCGTGCACGAATGTGAGAAAATCTGCCGGAAATGCGGAGCCAGACTGGACCTGCGAGGGCCTATGCCAACGCCATAGGCTGGTGCTATTTAGGCAAACCGTTGAAGCGCTAGTGAGTTCAATGTTGATCGTTCGTTGTAGCTGAACAGTAGCGCGCGCGATGTCTATCTTGCCCAATCGTTTCACAACCGTTTTTACAGATACTGCATCATATACAGCGTTCTCAGCCACTCTTCTTCGGAGAATTTGGCCGACTTCTCGTAAGCACCATTTTGACCGATTATTCAACCCTTGGTTCGGGTTTGCGGCTCGTTCTGATTGCCAAGGCAAATGTGATGATCATGCAGAGCAATCGCTCGTCGCCGCTCACTATCAGCGCTTAGGAAAATATATTCCAGATTACAACGGGCAGTGTAACCTGCAGCGATCAGGCTTCGTGAACGTCTTCTAACTCTGCGTGGCCGTAGCGCACAGTTCATGACTCCTCATCGGGTCAGACTGGAACTTCCTCATTGTCCAATCGATTTTCTGTCAAGGCATAATCTCAGAATAATCACTCAGCTGAATAAACCTTATTGGCTGGGCGGCTGGCCATCTACACAGCACCACAGTTGGATTTATCCCTATAATCCAGCTACGCGAGTAACAAGCTTGCCCTCCGATTGCACCTACCCTGATTTCGGTCGATGTCACACATGTGAAGCTTGATAAGAACACATTGAGCTGTCAAGGACACATCAGAGATTCTAGGATATCTAACCTCTGCATTTGAACTCACTATCAACAGAATTGTCAGCATATCAGCAATCGGAATTCAGACACTGGAGAACCAACATGGGCTCATGCTAGTTGGTAAGAGGATCATTGTGGTGCGGCTTGCCCGCCCTCGCTCATCAATCTCGGAACCACTCAGATATCTCTGATGCACTGTCAATAGGTTTCGTATTGGGGTATAGCGTCGATGCTTTCGTGATGTTACGACGCAACGTTTCCAACACAACTTGGACAGATGAACACTTATACACTCATTATCAAGACATCATGCAGTGGCCCGGATTGTATCAAATGCGCTCACCGGGCATTACAAAGCTTCATTAACCTAAATCGGCTACACAATCGGACTGAGAGTAGCCTCGGAATCGGTCGTCTCCACAGTAGTAGCAACAACCTCATCGGTCACAGCAGCTGTGCTGACCGGTAGAGGGGACGACGTGGGAGTAGTAGGCTCAACAGGAGCATCGATCGTAGTAGTGACAGCCGCAGTCTCAGTAGCGACCGGGTTGGTGGCATCATAATCATCCTTGTCTCTACTGCGAGCTTCCCCGGCTGCCGTCGTGATGGTGACCCCGTCAGTCACAGGGGCTGCAGTAGTAGCAACAACCTGATCGGTCACAGCAGCTGTGTTGGCCGGTTGAGGGGTCGTGATAGTAGTAGTGGGCTCAACAGGAGCATCGATCCTAGTGGTAGTCGCAGTCTCAGTAGCGACCGGGGTGGTAGCATCAGAATTATCCTTGTCTCTTCCCGGAGCTTCCCCAGCTGCCGTGGTGATAGTCACCTCGCCAGTCACAGGAGCCGCAGTAGTGACAGCGACCTCATCGGTCACAGCAGCTGTGCTGACCGGTAGAGGGGACGTCGTAATAGTAGGCTCAACAGAAGCACTGATCGTGGTAGCCACAGTGGCAGTCTCAGTAGCGATCGGGGTGGTAGCATCAGAATCATCCTTGTCTCTACCGGGAGCTTCCCCAGCTGCCGTGGTAATGGTGACCTCGCCAGTCACAGGAGCTGCAGTAGTATCAACAATCTTATCGGTCACAGCAGCTGTGCTGACCGGGAAAGGAGACGTTATAGTAGTAGGCTCAACAGGAGCACCGATCGTAGTCGTGACAGTCGCAACCTCCGTAGCGACCTGGGTGGTAGCATCAGAGTCATCCTTGTCTCTACCGGGAGCCTCCCCAGCTGCCGTGCTGATGGTCACTTCGCCAGTCACAGGAGCTGCAGTAGTGACAGCGACCTCATCGGTCACAGCAGCTGTGCTGACCGGGAAAGGGGACGTTATAGTAGTAGTAGGCTCAACAGGAGCACCGATCGTAGTCGTGACAGTCGCAGCCTCCGTAGCGACCTGGGTGGTAGCATCAGAGTCATCCTTGTCTCTTCCCGGAGCTTCCCCAGCTGCCGTGGTGATAGTCACCTCGCCAGTCACAGGAGCCGCAGTAGTGACAGCGACCTCATCGGTCACAGCGGGTGTACTGACCGGTAGAGGGGACGTCATAATAGTAGTAGGCTCAACAGAAGCACTGATCGTGGTAGCCACAGTCGCAGTCTCAGTAGCGATCGGGGTGGTAGCATCAGAATCATCCTTGTCTCTACCGGGAGCTTCCCCAGCTGCCGTGGTGATGGTGACTTCGCCAGTCACAGGAGCTGCAGTAGTATCAACAATCTCATCGGTCACAGCAGCTGTGCTGACCGGAAGAGGGGACGTTATAGTAGTAGTAGTAGTAGTAGTAGTAGTAGTAGTAGTAGTAGTAGGCTCAACAGGAGCACCGATCGTAGTCGTGACAGTCGCAGCCTCCGTAGCGACCTGGGTGGTAGCATCAGAGTCATCCTTGTCTCTACCGGGAGCCTCCCCAGGTGCCGTGCTGATGGTCACTTCGCCAGTCACAGGAGGTGCAGTAGTGACAGCCACCTCATCGGTCACAGCGGGCGTACTGACCGGTTGAGGGGACGTCATGATAGTAGTAGGATCAGCAGGAGCATCGATCGTAGTAGTGCCAGCCGCAGTCTCGGTAGCGACCGAGGTGGTTGCATCAGAATCATCCTTGTCTCTTCCCGGAGCTTCCCCAGCTGCCGTGGTGATAGTCATCTCGTCAGTGACAGGAGCTGCAGTAGTGACAGCGGCCTCATCGGTCACAGCAGCTGTGCTGACCGGTTGAGGGGTCGTGATAGCAGTTGTAGGCTCGACAGGAGCATCGATCGTAGTAGTGCCAGCCGCAGTCTCAGTAGCGACCGGGGTGGTAGCATCAGAATCATCCTTGTCTCTACCGGGAGCTTCCCCAGCTGCCGTGCTGATGATCACTTCGCCAGTCACAGGAGCTGCAGTAGTGACAGCAACCTCATCGGTCACAGCAGCTGTGCTGACCGGGAAAGGGGACGTGATAGTAGTAGGCTCAACAGGAGCACCGATCGTAGTCGTGACAGTTGCAGCCTCCGTAGTGACCTTGGTGGTAGCATCAGAGTCATCCTTGTCTCTACCGGGAGCTTCCCCAGCTGCCGTGCTGATGGTCACTTCGCCAGTCACAGGAGGTGCAGTAGTGACAGCCACCTCATCGGTCATAACAGCTGTACTGGCCGCCACTGTGGCATCGACAGTAGCTTCAGAACCAGTCGTACTCGTTGCTTCGGGAGCTGCTGTCGTACCTTCTTCGCTTGTAGCGGCCTCAGTGACCTCATCCGTGACTGCAGCAGAGGATGTGGAACCTCGGAGAGCCTCAGTCGGTCCACTCGTCCCGCAGAAGCACGGGGCATCCGAGCCGAAGCAGGTGCTCGGCATCTTCCAATACTTACAATATGACCCAGGGTAAGTTGTGGCACACTCTGTGTCGCAGTCATTGGCGTTGCCCGTCACGGAATTGATGTCCTGGAAAGCACAGAGAGCGACGAAAACAGCGGAGAAAGTCCGTGAAGCCATCATAGATAAATGCAAATGAGCGGCGGTAAGCTGAGACTAACTGGATGACTAAGAAGGCACATTTCGAGTGTGACTCGCACAATCGGCGACTCACGAGCTGTCATAACATCCACGATCCATAACCTTGATGACTGCGTCTCATTAGTTGTGGCGAGCATACGTATCGTCCACTCGTTTCACAAGATACTTTGCTCAGTGCGGTATACACTCATTGTCCATGAAAGCCGACAAGCTTTTCAGTGAAAACCTCGTCGTGGGGTGAATAATACAATTACAGAGCGATTCTTGTATCGTGAATGTGAATCGCATTTAAAGTTGAGGAGGCTGGCAGTGGATTTGCATTGAGAGAGGGGCCGGTTGATGATATTAAACAATCTTAGCTTCGCAGTGGGTCGAAGGCTATACATAGCGACACAAATATACAGGGCGTCAAATATAAGTATAGGTCGTCTACAACAGGCTCTTGAGGTCCGAGATGATAGTAATATCCGCTAACAACTCCCTTCGTGCCCATTGGATGACGCTTACTCTCTCCATTGATACTAACACGATATTGTTAATCGATAGCTAATAGTAGATGAGGACGTCGTCTCATTCATCAATAGTCTGATACCTTGCGTCTCTCC